CTAGCATGGGTGGGGATTTCATGAAGGAGTTGCTAAAAGCACAACCACAAACAATTCCAAGGAAGAATGGGAAACTTCTGAAAAAGCCAATGTGGCTGCATGGTAAATTCAAGGAGGATGTGAAAAGAAAAAAGAGAGCATGTATAAAGAAAGGATGAACCACCAAGAAGAAATATAGATGTGTAGCCCAAGCTTGCAGGAATAATAAGGAAAAAACTAACCCTCAAAATGAGCTGATGCTACCTAGGGAAACAGGAAAAAACAAGAACAGGTTTTTCAAATACGTGCAAATCAAGAGAATGACTAAGGAAATAGTGGGACTCCTACTCAACAAGAATGGTAAAATGCTAATAGGCCACACAAAAATGCAAAGCTACTCAATGCCTATTGTGTTTCAGGGTTCCCCCCGCGCATACACACACATACACAAAGAGGATTGTATGCTTCTGTGCATCAGTAGAGACCTTGGCAAGGGATCTGGATTGCAAAATAAGGATGATATGGAGCTAGTCAGGAATCACCTAGGTGACCTAAATGAGTTCAGATCTGCAGGGCCAGATGAACTTCATCCCATACTCACAGAACTACTTGTCAATATTTTTGAGAAATCTTGGAGGATGAGTGAGGTGCCAGAAGACTGGAGACAAAAAATATTGTCCCTCTCTTCAAAAATACAAAAATGAAGATCCTAAAGACTACAGGCCAGTCAGCCTCACCTCAATACCAGGGGGAAAAAATAGAATAGATTATACAGGAGTCTGTCAATATACAGTGGTCCCTCCACATTTGCTAGGGTTAGGGGCACAGTCCCCCCGTGAAAGTGAAAAAACTGCAAATAACAAAAACACTATGTTTTTACCTGAGGGAACACCTCTCTAGGTCCTCCAGAGCAACTGTGTGGGCAACATCTGTCAGGCATTGACCATTGAATTGTGCTGGAGGAGCTACAAATGCCTAGTGTTCTCTCTAGGAATCTCTAGGTCCTTCAGTACAACTTTTGGTTAAAGTTGACCAGAGTTGTAATGGATATTCCTAGAGATAACATACCAATACAATTTGTGAATAATCAAATCCGCAAAAGTCAAACCTGCAAATGTCGAGGGATGACTTTATCTTGATGACAATGCAGTGATCAGCAGGAGCCAGCATGGATTTGTTAAGAACAAGTCCTGCCAAAATAATCTCACAGTTTTGATCAGATCAGGTGGGGATGCTATGGATGTCATTTGGATGGATTTAAGCAAAGCATTTGAAAGGTCCCCTATAATATATTGACTAGCAAACTGATTAAATATGGAATAGATTGAAACACTTTCAGATGGATCCATAATTGGTTGGAAAACCATGCTCAAACAGTCATCATCAATAGCTCCACTTCAAAACTGGAAAGAGGTCCTGAATGGTGTGCTTCACAGTTCTGTCTTAGGGCCATTACTTTTCAGCACTTTTTTCAGTGCTTCAATTCAATTTTTTCAAGGCAAGTCACTCTCTAGGCTTAGATGACTGGGTGGAAAGAATCCTTATCAAGTTTGCAAATGACACAAAGCTGGGAGGGGAGGCTAACATGTTGAAAGATAGGAACAGAATTCAAAAGGACCATTATGAACTAGAGAATTGGATAGAAATTAATAAAATAAAATTCAGTAGAGACAAATGCAAGATTTTACATTTAAGCCACAAAAACCAAATGCACAGGATTAAGATGGAGGATATATGGCTCAGCAATTCTATATGCAAAAAGGACCTTGGGATTACTGTTGATTATAAATTGAACATGAGGCAGAAGTGTGATGCTGCAACAAAAAAGGTGAATTTTATTTTAGCTACACTAATAGAAGCACAGTTCCCAAGTCAAGAGAAGTCACTCTCTTACTGTATTCTGTGCTGTCCAGGCCTCTTCTGGAGTACCGTATTTTCCAGTGTATAAGACGACTTTTAAACCCAGGAAAAT